ACACACACACACACACATTACTGATGTTTAAAAACCAACAAAGAACTCAAGAAGCACTTCCACCCAGAGTTAAATAAAAAAAAAATTAACATGTTGGATCAGTTTTGCTTCAGTAGAAATTTCTGCCAACATGAGTGAAGCTTATTGTGCTTGTGCAAAACATTTAATACGTGTATTTTTACAAGATAAGACTGGAATACTCTATTCCTTTTTTCAACCTGCCTTCTAACCGATATTGACAAAAATCCCAAATATTTGAGTTGTTAAAGCTCATTTTCATTAAAGGGGCAATATTATATGTTTCTCAGGCATACATTTAAATACTATATCATAATAAAGTATCTATGTCACCTTTAGTTGTTATTAAAATGCTGTTTTTATGTTTAAATAGAAAATAAACTTCATCACTTCCTCTTCTAAACGCCCTGAAATTGGCCTCTGTCTCTTTAAGAACCACCTTTCGCTTCTGTCCCGAGTCAAAGCAAGGCTTTGGGCATGTTTTTTATGAGAGTATAACATTTTAACATGATATAAAACTCAAAAAAGTTGATTTTACATGATACTGCCCCTTTAAACTAAGCAAGTCTCTGTAAGAAATGTGGTTGATAAAACCAGTCAGTATTTCCTCATCCTGTCTGTAAGTGAAGTTTTTAACTTTATTTGTTCAACTAAAACCTACAAACACAGCTAGTCATAGTTTGTAAAAAATACAGAACTTACTGTCCTCCAAAATCAATGTAGAACCATCGCTGCAGGAGTTCATAGGTCACAAGAGTCACACCGAACTGAGGGGAGGAGCGGCACATACGAGCTGAAGGAAACAAACACAATTTAAAATAGTTTCAATCTTCAAACCAACTAAGCAAACATAAAACCCTAATTGAATGTATTTGTTTACAAACACACCTCCAGCTCCTTTCCACAAAGCACTAAAGCCTTCCTCTCGCAAAATCTTTCTGAAGCAGTCCATGACTCCTGTGTAAGTCGTCTGTCCGGCTCTTGCAGCTACTTGCAGACGCGTCTTGATGACATCAGCAGGCGTCACAAGAGAGGCTGCAGGGATACCTGAGAAACAAATGAAATCCTTCAAATTACTGCTGATAACTGAAATAATCTGGTATTTGTCTCATGAAGCATTTCTTACAAAACCACGTTATGACTAAATAATGACTGATTCTGAGGTTGTGTGTTTTTTTTAAGTTTACCTGCAATTGCTCCGGCAGTAAGAAGCTGCAGAGGTCCTAGTCTGCCTTGATCATCCGCTAGTTGAGTTTTAAGATGAGCATACGCAGGAAAATAGATGGCTGAGAAGGGAATATCCCTCAGGAAGCAAGCTTTAGCACCCTGAGCAAAAAAAAAAAAAAAAAAAAAACAATTCAGAAAAATGAAAACAACAAAAACAGCAGAGCAGACAAGAATTGATCCAAGGTCAGAGTGAGTGTGCTGCTTCCTCTGCTGCCTTTACTGGAACAAAATGCCTGCGCAGCCATGGCGGGAGCTTAATGGTGCATTTTAAAGGAACATTACCTTGTACAGACCGAAGAAGCCGAGGTCACGGACGACACTGAGCGCGCTGACACGAGGCCCTGTGGTGATCTCACCTGCTACCTGCAGGCGAATCTTCACTATCTCCAACGGGTTGGTAAAGATGACCTGGGAGCCTCCGGCCTGAGTTAATACAAGGATTTGGCTTTAATATTATACTTATTTAATTTAAAAAAATACTCATATCACTAGTTCTTACACTTTTAACATAAAAAGGTGATTATTAAAAATAGTAATTTTCTGACAGGGTAGCAATAAATATACCAATGTGGACAATGAATGCTTTGCTTCATACACATTGTCATATGGAAGTATGCTAGCATGTTAATGCAACAAACAATTCATACACAGGATGGTGTTCATGCTACTTCATGCTCATTAGATTTATAGTTACTCCTCAAAACCTTTCCTGGTGCTTTCACAGATGCTGTTAAAGACTGATACTTACACAGCCACCAGCCAGAATCTCAGCAAATAAAGGAATCGTGTCGTCTTTTTGAGTGAATTTATCTCTTACAAAGTCATTCACCTGTGAAGAGACAAACACAAGCAGCCACAAAGTTATTGAATAGTTTTGGTCAAACCTTCACCCAGTAATTTTACAGATATATTGTACGCCCTGTTGGAACTACAGTGAGTTTTAATGATCTAGTTTTAGTGTTTTATGACCTTTGTTTTGTGATAAAATAAAATGAGAACCTTTTCTTATGCAAACTGAATATGGAGCAGAAAAAACTTACAGTGAGTTTGATAGCCTTCTCAGGTGCTACACCAATGAGCTGAGGAACCAGACCTGCATATAACATGGATTAGGAAAACAAAAAGAAAAAGAAAAAAAAACATTACAAATATTAAACAAAACAGAGCATGGGAGATGAAATAATCTGAAGTTTTTTATATTCTGCATAAAAGAATACCAAAAAAAATCAATTTTGTTTGTTAGGATTAAGTACATGCTCACACACAATAACTGTGATATAAACAGACAGACGATGGACGCCGCCTACCTCTGTAGAAGCCAAAGAAACCCTCGTAGCGAAGCACCTTCTTAGCGCAATCGAAGCTGTTCTTGTACATCAGCTCCCCAACAAATGATCCTGTGGACCGCTGATTCTGCATGCGAGTCTTCACCAAGTCAATGGGGTACACAGCCGTCGCGCCGGTGGCTACATAAAACAAACCCAGAGTAAAAACCAAGCATTCAAAGTAAATACAACACATCTGATGGGTTAGAGAATAATTCACCTCCAGCAATGGAGCCCAGAGTGAATCTGTAGGCAGACTCTGCAACCTGGAGCCAAATGGGCCTGGATGCTTCGCCGTGGGACTGATGGCAAAACAGGAACAGTTAGATTTTTACACATCGTTTTACTGTAAACAACAACAAAGGCTTTTATTGCTGTAAAAATCCCACCTGTTTTTGGGTTTCTACAAGGTTGTAGGGCAGACTCCCCTCCTCTAATGGAGCTATTCTTTCGATGTCCGTGAGGTTCAGACGTCTGAAAAAAAATCACCACACAGACAAAACTTTTTCTTCTTTTGAAATGACAGCAAACTCCAAGTTTTAATTAGTTTAGGGGTTTGATTTAATTCATCTGAATGAGATGCAGGGTGGGTTTTTACCCAGAAGGGGAGTGGAGGCCAGACAGCTGGTACAAGATGTCTATTTCCATCGGAGTGATTTGACCGAACTTGTTGGCAGCGTGAACAAACTCCTCTGCAGAGAGAAAGCCAGGGGTGGGAGTCAAACGTTGTACCGAAACCCCACACATGCAACAGGATTAACATCCAAGGTGAAAGGAGGATCACTAAAACAACACAATGCATGCACCTTTGGTCACCAGCGTGTCCTTCCGTGTGCCCGCCAGCGTGCTGTAAATCTTACGGATCAGCTCCATGTTGTTCAGCAGCGAGTTGAAGGCATTGAAGTAGGAGAAGCTGACCATGTGAGCAGTGCTGCCCCCTGCAGCCTGAGGAAAAAAAAAAAGTAAAAGGTCTTTCTCACAAGGACAAGGTGACATTCACAGATATAATTCTTTATTTTTACGGTGTGTGCAAAAAATCTAGCTTTTCTGTTAAATCAAAAAAACTAAAAGAAAAAAAAAGATGAGGATAAATTATAGTTCTACTCAAGAGTGATTGCATCATTTATATTGCTTCATCATCATCTTTGTTTCTGTTTTGTTATGGTGATTTGATTAAAAAAAGGACTGAGGAGCTCACAAACAAACACTCACAGAGACGAGGTTCTCCTCCACGAACGGCGTGAGCATGTGGTGTCTGATGGTGGCCATGATGTCACTAAAGTCCAGCGCAGAGATGGCACCATTTTTCTCCTTATCTTTCTGGGCGAACGCTTGACGTGCATGCTCCAACTGCAGCTCCTAAACAAACAAACAAACCTCAAACTTAAGTGTAAAAATGGTTTAAGATGTCACACTACGCGAGACAGAATATGGAGACACACTGAATAATACACCAAAGTGAATGGGACGTATTTGTTGTACCTGCAGGAACTGAGTGAACTCAAGGTAGCTGAGCTGTTTCTTGCGATCATTCCCGAAGTGCAGCCGGATGAACTCGCAGTCCCAGTTGAAGGGAATGTGGTGGTGTACTGTGGTCTGGCTGAAGATGTCACGTGCATTCTCTGGAGAGCAGAGACAAATCAAAAAGCTTTCAGTGTCATAACGTACAATCATATGTGGGCCACACAGAAAGGCAGAGAGAAGAACGAAAAGAGCCAGAAACAGGGCATGAGGGTGATTACGTAACTCCAGTTATGTTTAGTTACTAAACTCAATGACTAACCTGGGTAACAATGTGACACGGATAATTGATTTCCTCACACACACACAAAAAAGGTCAACTCTCCCAACTTTTCCATTTGAAGACAGATCTTACAATTAAAAAAATAAAACCTCAGAGGAACAACACAACATATTCCATATGCCTAAATTCTGAAGCCCTGCATATTCACTCATCAGCTTAGCTGTTGTACGTTTTCACTCAACACACAGCAACAAATCTAAAAACCAGCTCGTACCGTAAGAGACGGTGCCAGTTCCAGTCTTGTCAAACAGCTGAAAGGCGACAATGAAGAGGGCATCAGGTGCACACAAGACTGATTCAAATGCAAGAAACTCCTGGAAGGAGATCAGCCTGCAGTTGTGTAGGTAGAAAGAAAAAAAGAAGAACATGGAGAAAACATTAGCTCACATATTATTTCCTATAAAAAGTTTAACAACAAACTCTTAGGACACAAAAACAAAACACTTTTTGCTTTCATAGGTGCATATTTCATAATTATTCGAATAAGCAGACTTTACACTTTTGTAATATATATATATATATATATATATATATATATATATATACACACACACACACATACATACATCGGTATACTGTATACTGTATACTGTATATATGAGTGTATATATTAAACACACTCAGACTCTGTTTGTCTAACAGCTAAGTCATAAGGAGAGCTATCTTATCTTTAGATAGCTAAATTGTAGACGACTGACCTGAAATTGTTGATTAGCAATGATAAGCTGGGAATGTGTGTGTGTGTGTGTGTGTCTGTGTGTGTGTGTGGACAGGTTTTTCCTACAACGTGGGGTACTTTTTTTTACAAAAAAAGGCAGCCAGGTGGGGACCGAAGTGAATCATGGGTACCAATGTCAGGTCCCCACAGGTCCAAATGCATGTTACAGGTGTGGGGTTAGGTTTAGGACCAAGGTTTAGGTTAGTTTTAGGGTCAGGTAAGTTTCTGAGGTTAATTTTAGAGTATATGGTCAGGGTTAGGATATAAAGTCTAAAAAACATGAATGGAAGTCAATGGAAGGTCCCCACGGGGTCGAGAAACAAACATGTGTGTGTGTGTGTGTGTTTGTGTGTGCACAGTGATTGCGTCAGTACAAACCCGTCCTTTGTGGTGTCAGCTACGGCGGCGATGAGCTGCACAGTTTTGGGGTTGTGGTGAATTTGCGTCTGTAGTCCCAGATAATTCTGGACAAAGTCCGCCGGGGTCATGAACCTCTCTCCATCCTTGTCCACTATGCTGGCATACTGAAGGAAGCAAACACAACGTAACACCAACATGGATTCAACTTTACAGCCCCGATTTACTCTGTCCTAACTGCATTATTCGATTCTATTCAAAGGGCTTTTCCTGGATTAAAAAACAACAGAGAGATGCACTAATTCCAACATGAAACATTTTAAACTCTTATTGCAGTTGAGTTACATAAACAAGAGTTAATCCAATCTTTTCACATTAGCTTTGTTTTAATCCCTTAGTGTGCAATAAGCAGTGGTGTTTGACCAGTGTTTACAGGCAAAACTATGGAGCCTGACAGTAATAAACTATAAACCGTAGAAGTGTGCATGAAATAAAAATAACAAGGATTAATGTTTTGCGTTTTTGTTACAACTTTGACTTTTCAATATTAATGTAACTTTGTAATTAGCGAAAATGTTTGTTTCAACAAATAAAATAACTAATTAGGTTAGCAGTTCGCCAACTTATCCATCCATTCGTGAACCTGATGGATGCTTAAACGTGCCAGTTCTTCATGGCACATGTGCGCTGATGGTTTTGGCCCAAGCTTGTCAGTTACCTGACCTCTGAATGTCAACATACCTAAAACTGCTGACACGTGTTAATCACACACTGTGTCGCAGGTACTCATCACGCAGAAAACAATCATAGAGCAAAGTATAGGTAAATAAAGACTTCTGCTACTACAGTCACTTGTTACAGCTCATGATAGTCACACAGAGAAGATCATCAATGTACCCTAGGCATCTGTTTTAGTCCGTTTCTTGAAATGTGACACGACAGCTCCAGCCACACAGTGGTGTCGTCTTCACTGACCTTTTTAGTTACTAACAAGCAGGCGGAAATTCAGGCACCAGGTTCTCAAATACATTCATAGCAGCTCTATTGTTTTGATCCTTTACACCTGCTAATCTATTTAATTTTATATGCAAACGTATTTATAAAGAATCGGTAGTAGGCATGAATATATTTTTAGACCACAATAATTACGCACTGACTTTGAACACATGCATTAGTTTCTTTAAAAAGGTCAATGAAAGGATAAACCAGATACTTAGACTTTCACATTAAAAGCATGGCAATTAAGATTTGAGGTTATGCCGATTGAGGAAATCACATATTACATTTTTCTTACAATGTCAAGAAATACCCTACTTATGACTTTTTTTTTTACTATATATGTAAATATAATAAATGTACAATGCTGTTTAAATTAACACTTTCCTAGGAGAAATGAATCGTACCATTATTACTCTTGATCAATTAAGCTCTACTGCTGATTATATAAGAGTAATGTGTGTAAACTTTACCTTTTGGAAAATAGCTTTCAGCTCACTTGGGTCTCCCCGTTTGGTGGACTGGATCTAAAAACAAATTAAAAACCAGGCTGACCCTTTTGACAATCATGGCAAACAAGCTGCTGGTAAAGTCATATTTAGCAGGAGGTGGTGCAAAAAATAAATAAATAAAACAAAATAAAGCAAAAGGAACAAGCTACTTTAGCCAGTATTTAAATGAGAAAGAAAGTCACAGATACCAGAGTATAAGTGATACACAAACATCGAAACAAAAAGCTAACTTAACATTTCACCGACCTCCAAGTCAAAACATTACCAGGATAGCTGGCTAACAAGTACAAACCACTGGGATAAGCTTTCAAAATTATAAAAAAAGAACAGAAAGACTACGAAAAACACAGGTGTCGCAAAACAATGCAAACTGACAAGATAGAAAAGACAATTTTATCGCCATTTTCTAGCAGTTTGATATGTTTAAAAGGAACTAGCTAACTTCGAGGTTGTGGATGTCGGATCAGGGCCAGCCAGGGCGGCAGTTAGCTCGGTGATGCTACAGCCTCAGAGCCCTCCGTATCCGAGACACCCACACCGGACAGGACCGAACAGTCTAGCTTCAGGGACCCCCTACACGAGGTAACCGACAAAATACATGCACACACGGTAGCGTAGAGGTTTGAAAATCGCTACGAGAGCGATGCCCAAGTCACCTTGACCGCCATGCTGGTTTGACGTCACGCGCAGTGGTGGGCGAGGAGGAGGAGGCGACGCGGACGCACCTCAGTCGGTCCCACCGCGTCTGATAGGTAAAACGAGCAGCGCTCCTTTGCGACAGAAAACGAAAAGAACGAGCTAACACAAACAAGTTTAAGCAGGGAAAGTTAAGCTTTGACGGAGAAACTGTATTTGGTAATCTGTGGTTCTAACATGCGGGAGTAGTCAATTATAAAGCTAAGCTGATGTAAGGTATATTGCATCATTTCCAGAATGTTGTTAAGAGGCTGCGGATTAATACAAACCTGCCACTGATTCAGCATTGTTTTCATGCTTTGGGCTTTTTACTAATCAAATCATTCACCTCATTCAGATGGATGCAGTTACTTTTGGAGTTTTGTAACTTTTTGAAATATGGAATTTTATTTACTAATGTTTCCCGAAGTAGATTGGGAAATATTGCTTTCTATAAAATATC